ACCCACGTATCAGAGCATCATCCCTGTGCCCCTCAGGCTGACCATGGTCCCTTTGCCTTTCCCTGCTTCCCCCGCCCATTAGTATCCAGGAAGGTTCCACAGCCCAGACCGGGCTACTGGAAGGCCTTGTCACTCCCTCTTGGCTTCTAGGCAAAGGAACAGCCCTGGGCTTTCTGACCAAGGCCGGGGGCGCAGTGGCCTAGCAGCAAGGGTATTGGACAGCAGCAATTAAAAGGCATAACTCCTCCTGAGCTATCCCGATTTGCTTTTGTTGAAAAGAGCTCCTGCAGAAAATCCCTAATCTGCAGCCCAGCAGGCTCTCCTACTCCATGGAGTATGGTGGAGAGGGTCCCCCTGCCAGTTGCCCTCCAGCCACCAGGATACCTCATTGCCCTGGGCTCCTTGCCCCCTCCTGCCCCTATAGGAGGGGAGAGGGAGCAGGGCTGGAGAAGAGGGCACAAAGGGATCCAGAGCATCCCTATCTGACAAGGCCCTTCAGCTTCCTTTCCACTGAAGCCCCAGGACTTGACTTGGTCATCCCCCTCTTCACTACCAATACCTTGGAGGGCAGGCAGGTGCCCTGGAGGCATCTGCTTCCCATGCACCCCACCTGCCCTGCAGGAAGTCACCTGGGAAAATCTCTTGAAGGCAGGGCCCCTACCTCTGGCCTGTCTTTCCTGGAAGCCCAGGGCTGAGGTAGTGCCAGCCCTGGAGTGCAGAACACAAAGCCTCAGTGACAACACCTGCCACTAATCCTTTCTAAAGCCTGCCTTGGCTTGGGATGGTGGGGGGCACCTCTCTGTGATGAGAGGTGGTGATGAGTGTAGACAGGTGGCAACAGGCCCACACAGCCATCAGAAAACCCTTCGTAAGGCACCTTCTATACACAGCACAAGACGGGCAGGGAATATGGGGAGCAATCTAAAGATGTAAAAAATTTGACAGGACAAGGGAATTTTTACCACACTCTAGAACCCCAGACTTTGTTTCTGAAACTTTTTATGCTTTTCAAAATCAGTAAAAAAATCTTTTCTTTTATAGGAAAGACCTTTCCTATTTCAGGTTTATAGGAAAAAACCTTTCCTCATCTTTTATGAAAATTTTAGGTCCTCATCGCTACATGGCCTTTCCAAACACATCCCCAAAAGACTTTTTTTAAAACCAGGCAGTGGGACACTGTTGATGTAAGCAGTCATTCCAGTTGAACCTGGATGGTGCAGATGAGGCAACTTACTTTGGGGACTATTAAGTGTATAATGTGAGAGACTTCATTAAGAAATTGTAAGGACATGGAGAAAGGGGAGTCCTCCTACACTGCTAGTAGGTATGTAAATTAGTTCAACCATTGGGGAAAGCAGTGTGGAGGTTCCTCAAAAGACTAAAAATAGAAATACCATTTGACCCAGGAATTCCACTCCTAGGAATTTTCCCTAAGAATGCAGGAGCCCAGTTTGAAAAAGACATATGCACGCCTATGTTTATTGCTGCACTATTTACAATAGCCAAGACAAGGAAGCAACCTAAGTGTCCATCAGTAGATGAATGGATAAAGAAGATGTGGTACATATACACAATGGAATATTATTCAGCCATAAGAAGAAAACAAATCCTATCATTTGCAACAACATGGATGGAGCTAGAGGGTATTATGCTCAGTGAAATAAGCCAGGTGGAGAAAGACAAGTACCAAATGATTTCACTCACCTGTGGAGCATAAGAACAAAGAAGAACTGAAGGAACAAAACAGCAGCAGACTCACAGAACCCAAGAATGGACTAACAGTTGCCAAAGGGAAAGGGACTGGGGAGGATGGGTGGGAAGGGAGGGATAAAGGGAATAAGGGGCATTACGATTAGCACACATAATGTAGAGAGGGGCACAGGGAAGGCAGTATAGCACAGAGAAGACAAGCAGTGACTCTACAGCATGTTACTACGCTGATGGACAGTGACTGTAATGGGGTATGTGGTGGGGACTTGATAATGGGGGGAATCTAGTAACCACAATGTTGCTCATATAACTGTATATTAATGATACCAAAATTTTAAAAAATTTTTAAGAAGAAATTGTAAGGACACTGTTTTGGCTGATTCACACTGCTGCAATTCCCTGGCTTGAGGTTCAAAGGCAGACACCCGTGGCGACAGCACGGCTGCTGCCTTTGACTGAATTACAGATATGTCACACTCAGGGCTGGAGCTAGAAAGGGCTGTGTAGGCAGCAAAGGGAACATCAGGGCGTGAGGAAGAAAAGCTGAGTTCCAGTCCCAACTTTGCCTCTAATGTCCTCTGAGGCTTTGCTGAGTCACTTAATCTCTCAGAGCTGCAGTTTTCTCACCTGTACAAGGAAGGGTGGGGCTGATGACTCTGGAGTCCTTTCAGCTCCATGACTCACTATATTCTAAGTAAGGATGGCCATAGAACCTCTTCAGAGGTTCATTCATTTGTTCAGTCAACAAAGTTTTCATGAGTATCTACTATATGCCAAGAACCATGCTGGGTTTCCTGACCCAAAGAGCTCACAGCCTGCTGGGATGAGCAGAGAGGTGACTGCAGCATAAAGAAGGGCACAGAACACACCACTGACTCAGGAACATGAGCATCTGCCTGCCCACCCCCTGCAACAGGTAGCTGGGCTTTGCAGTGTTTCTCCCAGTGGCTGGCAGATCCCCTAATTTCTATGGCCTACAAAAGAATTAGATCGAAGTTTGCAGATAGTTGCACAAGAAGTCATGCAACACTACAGAGTAGAGAGACAGGTCTGTTTATGCTGGCCATCAGTTTTCAGAAGTCCACGAAAACAAGAAGAGAAAACAATCAACAATTGCTGATTATCACACCCGGGAATTAAAAATGATTAGGAAAAATGGCAAAGATGCGGTGGTGACCACTGACTGGCTTTGGCATCCAGCACCCATTCCCCTTTCCTTTAGTAACAGCACCCCAATTTTCCTCCCCACATCATATGTGGCAACAGAAGCACTGTGCCAGGATACCCTCCCCTCCACCAATGGCAGAGGTGGGCAGTGAACCCACCAGCCAGATTCTCAGACTCAGAGGTGCACTAGTTGGTATGCATGGGGGGAGCACTTTCTGTCCAGGGACAGGGGAGTGTGGAGGCTGCAGAGTCCATCCTGATGCCTGGAGACCTCGAGGCTGCTCTGGCTTCTGTCCTGCAGTTGATTCTCCAGGCTTCTCATCAGTGCTAGGAGTTAATTACCTGATGGCTGTCAAAAAATTTATTTCCTTCTCAAGATGGAGCTGGGGTGGGTTCCAAGCCTGCTAGAGGACCTGACTAATTGAAGTTTTTATGATTAATGTCATGTGGTCCAATTCAGTGGCAGTCAGTCAAAATGTCTATGTGTGCAGCTTGAGACTTTTGCACAGGACAGACTGGGGTCATGGTTTGGAAGATTAACCTGCCACCAGTTGGTGGGTGGGTAAGAATGAACAACAAACATCACGAAAACTAAGAAGAGCTCCCAGGATGAGCAGTCCCTGTGCCTGGAGCTCTGTTCATTTAATCCCGACAGCCCTGTGAGGCAGGTGAACTCATCCCCACTTTATGGATGAGGAAAACTGAGTTCAGTTGGTTAAATAACATGCTGAAGTTCATGCCAAACCTTGGCTGATGAACGGCAGAGCTGAGATGGGAACTCAGGTGTGAAAACTCAGAGCCTGGGCTTTTCACCAAACACCACATTACTTCACTATGGAAGAATATGTATGAAAGAATTTTCAAAAATATTATGAGCAACCTAGTGCCACCTTGGAGGTAAGGGCCTGGGGGTGGGAAAAGTCAAGGAAAACAGCAGGCTTCCCTCTGGCTGCCATCAGCTACGGTGGGCTGGGGAGCAGGAGCCGGAGATGGCCAGCAGGGCTTGTGCCTGCACCCCCGCAGCCAGGCGGGGCCTCTGGGTCGAGCATGTCTAGGGTGACAGTGGAAGCCACAGTGCGGTGTTCCAGGAGTGCGGGTGAGTGTGGCAGAAAGGAGCAGGGAGCTGCACTGGGACTTGAGCACCCACAGTTGTACACTGGAGAAGAAAAGGAGCCAGGGAAGCTCAGAAGTAGGGAGGGCATTGTCGTGCACTCGGGGGAGCTTGCGGGGGCAGGGGGCACCCGGAGGAGCTCAAGCCGCTTACCTGCACATGCCCCTGTTTCTGACCAGAAGTAGTGACAGGAAGGTGTCCGGTTAAGTGGTTGGCTTCTGGTCCTTGCCAAGCCAGGAAGCCGGCACTCACCCTGCCCAGCACCCATCACGTGCCACTCTCTCCGCCCTTCACCTCACAGCCAGCCAAGACCCCCAAAAGAGGGCTCAGCCCGCTATGGCTTAGGGCCTGCCAGGTCTCAGTCCTGCCACTCTGCGGGGGTGGAGCGCCCGGGCAGTCTGGCTACTGGGAGACTGGGGGGAGGCTTCCACTGAGCCAAGCAGGCAGCCCATCCTCTCCCTCCCCCTCAGTAAAGGAAGGCAGGGGAAAAACGTCTTTTTATAAATAGCTCCAGCCCCAGCTGATTTGTAAATTCAGTGGGTTTTTTTTTTGTGTGTCAATGACATCACCCTCCTCCCCATGGCAACCTCCGACGATATCAAAATTGCCAAGCAACATTGGAGCAGCTCAGCACCCTAAAGGAGTAGGTCGTTGCCTGAGGATTTAATGGAGAAATCCCTAAGTGAGCCTGGGTGTGCGGTGGAGGAGGAGCCCTCCGCAGCCAGCACGGGGAAGGCAGCCAGAGCTCGCCAGTGCCGCCTGCCAGGAAGCCCTGGGCCAGCTGGCGCTCCTGGGCCACTCTACCTTTGACAGCCCTGCTGTTGATAGCAGGTGGGGGAGGGCACTGCTCCCTGCCTGATGTGCCAGGAGCCAGGAGCAGCCATCCAGGTGACTAAGCCGGCCCACTAGCACTGAGTCACCTGCTGGCCCGGAGGTTTCTCCCTTCCCTTTTGCATCTGATTATTTTGGGAGCTGAAAACTTGGAGCTGCACCTGAGTCCCTCCCCTTCTAGCTCTCCACCCCCTACCTTGGGCTCCGAGGAAGATGGGACCTGCCACAACTCTGCAGCCACCCCCTAAGGATATGGAAGGTGCTGTAGGGGCCCGAGGTGCCTGGGGAGAGACACCAGCCGGCAAAGTACAATAGCAGAATATGGTGATCAAGCTGCCATGTCCTCTGGAGATGTCGGGAAAGAAGGGAAGGCTGGTCCATGCTAACTGGAGTCCTCCCAGACTGGCTTTGAACATCTCCCACGGGATATTCTGCAAATGAGTGACTTCTAGGGTCAGAGTGGCATTTGGAGAGCAAGGCTGGATTGGACTAGGCTGCCTGGGCAGGTAGGTGGCTCTGTGCTGGGTGTGGCTCCACATGTGTATGAGAGAGCACGCAAGTGTACATGAGAGCACGGGTGCTGTCCCCCTGCTGGGGGTGGCAGGGGGGTCTGGGAGAGAGCTGGGCATAGGGGATTTGGCAGGCCCGCCAAAGCCCCAAGAGGTGCTGTGGAAAATGGACACCAAGTACCTGGCCTGAGCAGGTGGAGGAGCAGCTCCAGCTCCCACAGGCCCAGCTGTCCCTGAGTCCACAAGACAGACACAGCAGGATGCCAAGGTAGGGAGTGACCCAGAGGGGCAGACCAAGGATGGAAGCCAACCCTCCAGGGGCTGGATGGTACATCAGCTGCCCCCTCTCTGACAGCCCTGGGCACTAAGGAGACAGCTTCTACCAAGGGATTCTGCCACTCGCCCATGCAGTGCTTGTCAGCACCATGTGGGTCCTGTGCAGAGGTCAGAGGGATGTGCTCCCTAAGAAGGGTGCTGGCCAGGGCATGCTTCCCCACACTCAGGACCCAGCCAGGGCCACTGTTCAATGCGGCGCTCAGGCCAGATCCTGGAGCCCCGTCCCCACAGGGCATGCTCCTGCGTGTGTCATTCGGAGGGGTGAGCCCCCCACCCCCGCCCACCTCCCCCATGCAGCTGGTAGGCACACCGGTGAGTAAGCTGCCGGAGGCAGGAGGCCACGTGCGGCAGAGACAGGACAACAGCAACCAGGAGCCTTCGGGGAGAAATGGAGAAGCGGCAGGGTGAAAAAAGAACTGATGTTTTCTTCTTCATTTCCTTCTTTTTTGATTTTTTGCCTGAAGGGAGTGCAGCTTCCTGGGCTAGAGACAAGCAGCAGCCTGCAGTGGGGAGCTCGAGTCCCAGCTACCCGAGGGAAGAGTGCCAAGGTAAGGTCCCCATGGCCCCTGGGGCGAGGCTTTCCAGGCAGAGGTGGGCACCGAGGCGTCCAGGCTGCCCGCCATCTGGGGCAGGGGCTGAGGAGCCCCATGCCCTGCAGACCTGCCACTCCCCTACCAGAGCGATTTTGAAACAGCCCAGTCCAAGTTGGCCTCTGGCTTCCTGGGCAAAGGGAGAAATGCTTGTTTCTGCTATTCCTGCCCTTTCCTCCCCCTCCTGCTGGGTCAAGCCAGTACCACCAGGATGCCCCTCCAGGAGGACCTTCTCACCTCCCCACCTCTGGGACACTCCCCCCACATATTCATCCCACAGATATTTAGTGCTGGAACCCAGGCTTTGAGTCATGCCCTTATGCTTGCCCTGGCACAGACTCAGACCCTGAAACTGGCATCAGGCTGGGTTTAGGGGGCTGCCTGGCTGAGTACTATCCCTCTGCACAGGCCTCGGGCTCCCCACCCCTGCTGCCTGGTCAGTGACCTAGTGGGCTCCAGGAGGGGTTATACAGCACGGGGGCCCCACCAAGAAGTGAGACTAACACAGTATAGTGTGTTCTTTCCCTGGCATCACACTCCAAGGTCACGGGCTCCTGTGTGGGATCTTTCCCTCAGCTGACCCTGGTGGGAACTGGGTTCCAGGAAAGGATGAACTCTGGGCTGCCTGGCTAAGCTCTACGGCAGCTCATCGAACCGGGAATAAGGCCTTCAGGCCAAGCAAGGGGTCCTCTCTGCTGCGCAGCAGTGGCAAACCTGGAAACCCTAGTGACAAGGACACCTACTCAGGATGGGGTTTGCAAGGCTTCTGGAAGCACCTGATTTGGCAGAACGCTCTGTGCACCTGAGAGGGGACACAAGGTGGGACTACGGGGGCTGCACAGACTTTCCAGTCCCCCACCGACAGACCAATTCTTTGTGAGCTGAGCTCTCTGTGGTATGCCAGGCAGAGGGACGATGCAGGCAGGTCTGGGGGCTCCAGCCACAGCAAAGCCCACTCTTAATAATTCTCAAGGGTGGCCCAGAATGCCCTCTGTCCTGGGGGAGCACATGGACCCAAAGTCCGGATGAACCCATAAGTGTCTGCCACTCGGCTAGCCCTCACACCTGGCTCCAGGACGAGGAAGACGACCCAGCTGTGGGGGTATTTCCTGCCTCCTCATAAAAGGTGACTCCAAGCCTGGGAGTCCCCAGTGTTTGCAGAGCTGAGCAACACTGAATGCCTAGCTGGGGGGCAGAGTAGCAAAAGCTGTGGACCCCCAGACAAACAGCAGGCCAGCAGGGCAGAGCTGGCTGGGCCTGGAGGGAGCAGAGGGTAGAGGCCAGGACACAGGGGGCAGGATTTTTGGAGGGCTCTGGATGGATGGCTTTCTCATACCTGCCCACCTCTGTGATGGACCAGCCAGGGAGGAGGTGGCAACACTAAGAAACTGCATTCTGGACCCAACAGCCCCAGAGATATCTCTAATGCCCTGTGCCCTGGGTGCAGAAGGCAGCAAGGGCACATGGGAAGCTATTCTGTGGCCTGAAACTGAGCTCTTCCCCATAGGGTGCCCTCCACACCGTGACTGGAAAGGCCCAGGGCTCAGGCACAGTTCCCAGCACTTGGGCAGTAGGAAGAGGGCTAACAATCTTCATAAGCAGGTGCTCTGCGGCCTGCCCCTAAAAGAAGTGGGCTAGCCCACAGGTTGGAAGAGAGCATGGAAAATGGAAGCCTTGGAGGCAGGAAGAGCTCCTGCCTTCCTGAGGGCTAAGGTGAGCTGTGTGAGCTGTGAGAGAAAGGGGAGCTTGTCTTTTCTTGGCAAGAGGGCAGCTCCAGGCAGCACCTGGGGGTGGCAGCTGGCACTTTGTTCTGACTCCCTCGCTTGCAGGTGGGAACACAGACTGCCTGACTATGAAGAACAAAGCACTGGTGGTGGGAAGGGTGGGAGGGGGTGCCGATAAAATGAAGGGACAGAGTGCTTGCACTGGGAAGCTTACAGCCCTTCAGCAGAGGACTAAAAAGGAAAGCTGAGCTTGGGGTGAGTCCTAACAGAAACCAGCCGGACTTCAGATCCATGGGGTCACCTTTTGCCCATTCTGGGCCCCAGACTCATTGCTGAAGTTGCCAGCCCGACCCATCCAGTCCAGGTAATTTGTAAGTTTAGATTGACACTGGAAGATGGTTCTTAACATAGAACTTAATAAAGATGGACAAAAAAAGATCAGTTGAGAACACAAAGAAAGAAGCAACTTCTACAGCTGGGGGCAGAAGACTAGTATCCAGAGATACACAAGCATGCGAAGAGGCAGGAGGGTGGGTGGTGACCTGCGTGGAGTCAGGCAGGTGAGAGTCAGGCCCAGAGCTGCCTCTTCCTGCCTGGGTGGCCTCAGAGCAGTACCTCAGCTCTCTCCTCTCAATTTCCTCTCCTGTCCGACAGAGAGTATCTGTGAGGTCGGGCTGTTGAGAAGATTGAATAAGACAACATGTAAATACTCTCAACAGCATGGCTGACCCATAAGTGCTCAGAAAAAGATAACATTATCAATGGATGATTATTAGTGTTGGAGGAACAAAGTGCCAGGAGGGAGAGACCACACTGAGGTCTTCAGGGGAATCAGAAAGGGCTTCATGGAGGAGGGGGCTTTGGAAGAACCCTGCCCTGAAAAAAAGCTAAAGCTCTCAGAATGATGATAGATCCGTGCCCTATAACGCTGGGAGGAAAAGCAATATCAGATCCATATTTTTCCCAAATTGCAAACTGTTTGTCCAATGAGGTTCTGTGAGGAATGACTTGAGCCTGGTAAGTTTAGATGGTGCTGCCTTCTGGGGTCTAGAGTTTGAGATCTTGAGGACTTGAAATGGGCTGTACATAGTGAATGAATCAAGAGGCCTGTCTACTCCTCTCTGGGATTTTGTCCCATAGTGGCCCTGATTCCTTTAGGGACTATACAAATAAGCCCCATCTGAAACACAAACTTGAAGGTGGTGCGTGCAGAGGGGCCAGATGAAATCACAGCAGGCTCCCTGATCACTCGGGCAAGTGACTGAGAAATGCTCAGGAACCCTAAGGTTCAGACTCAGAGACTTTTTGCTTTTTCTACCAAAGTTATCTGTCCTATGAATTTAGGAAAGGTTTACCTAAAAGAACAAGGCAAACCCCGAGCATGACAGACTTTCATATGCTGGAGGAAATAAGCACGTGAAAATGAGCTTCTTCCTAACCACACAGAGCAGCCTGGCACCCCCAGGGCCCTCTAAGCATAGCACAGCCCAACCAAATGACAGACAGGTGACGCCTTCTAACACTGACCCAGGGCAGGTGCCAAAAGCACAGTTCCATGAGCTCTACAGCCAGACGGTTAAGGCCCCCAAGAGGCCGTACAGCTCTGAGAACTAAGAACTTTGTGCCTTTGGAGCTGAGGTGTTCCGCCCTGAGGGCTGTGAATGGGGCTCAGGCAGCCAACATCACGCTTCCTCACTCTGTCCTTCCTTGGGGCTCTGGCCTGTGCCCTTACCTGCTCAGACACAAGCCTTCTGCTCCGCCCACTCACCTGTCCTTCCTGCCTGTCTGGCCCTCGGCTCCGAGGCATGGGTGCAAGTCACAGTCCTGCTCCAGTCTCAGACCCAGGCAGCCACTGGAGGCTCAGAAGAGAGAGGAAAGGACAGTGAAGGGCCTCCATTCAAGAGGCTTCCAGCTGTTAGTTCTGCCAGGGAAGATGCCAGTCAGAGAGCTAAACTACCAGCAATAGACATTTGGACGCCCATAAACTTTGGAGCCCAGTAAGAGCAGGGGCTGCACAGTGATCAGAGTGAGAAAATAGTACATTAATTTATGATGTCTCTAAAATGAGTGTTCTTAGCACAGAGGTGGCTTTTTCTGTTCCCAGCCCTCCCCAGGGTAGCTCATACCCCCATGTAACTGGGCAGGGTACCACAGCCTGCCCTGCCCCTGCTTCCACCCTTTGAGGTGGATGGACAGTGACCCCCACATCTGAGTGGCTTGTTCAGATCACCAGGCCCCTTAGGGACTATCAGGCAGGTGCAGTCCCCAGTGTGAGTACATGTTTGGGGAAGACAGCCTATGTATTCCTATTGGTGGAGGAAGCCTAGTACAGATGCAGAACTTTAGAAAAAGCCAGGCAGAGAGAGGCTGGAGGCTCCTGGGTGTGGTAGTTTCCCTCAGCTGAAGTTCAAGGTGGCAGAAGGACTCATCTGTGCAGCAGCCAGACAGGGGAGTCCCATGGATTTTCCCCAAACACCTAACTGGGCCCAGACAGTGCTGTCACCAGGGGATCCTCTCAAGAATCTGGAGTGGATAGACCTGCTGGGCTGATTTAGCAGCTAGCTCTTCTGGAAAATCCCTAGGATTCTATGCCACCTCAATCAGGGCTCTGTTGCTCCCTGGGGCAGTTGTGTTCATGTACAGCCTGGGGGAGGGGAGGTGCCTTTGCTAGCAACTGTAAGGGCTAAGGGTCAAGGACCTCTCTCACTCTGGGAGTGCTGGTCCTCAGGGCCCCTGTACGCCAGTACCGCATCATTCCATCACCTTCCCAGTGGAGAAGGACGCTGTCTCCCCCCATTATACACAGCAAGAAACTGAATCTGGGACATGCTGGAATTCTGGAGAGGCAGAGGCTTCCAATCCTGTGAGAATCCATGCTCTCTGCAGCTAGACTCTTGTCTGCCTGCCTCCTGTGTAGGGGTCCCAGGGGCTTGGCAATGTCAGCTCCCTTAGTTCACGTTCCCAGACCCTCAGAAGTTTGCACCTACCTCTCCGCCCCATCAGCACAGAGAGATAGTTGGTACCGTCAAGACGAGAGACTCTGGCCCAGCCACCCCAAGAGCAGGAAGAGAATGATGTTGGACTGCCTCAAAGGGAGGAGGAGGAAGGGGTCTTCTCCAAAGAGTGCCCCTCTCCTGGTGCTGGGGGCCGCGGGATGAGTGGGCAACTAGCTACTCCTCCTGGAGCCCAGGCTCCAAGGGCTTCCTCAAGTCAAGTAGCAAGAGGACATGCCAGCCCCCCCGACCCAGGAGTGCTGCCATGAGCCTGATGGTCCTGTTCCCAGTCTGTGTATGGGAAGGACAGATAGCTTGATGCAAGGGACTTCAGGCTCCTGACTGGGGAAATCTAGCTGGGCCTCAGTGAGAGGGTGGGAGAAACTGAGGCCCCCTCTGCCCTCACACCCAGTGCCATGTGGGGGTCCTCATGCCCTTGTCAGAAATGAGAGAAGGATAACCCCCACTTCTGTGTCACACCACTCACCCTTCCTGGGTGGTGGTCACTATTGACATAAGAAGGCCAAGACTGGTGCCTACCCCACCAATTGTTCCCAGGATTTGACCCCACATGTCCTTAGAACCAGGGACATCAGAGCAATACAGAGATAAGAGACAATAGTCTGGGGGCAGATACACTTGGGTTGAAATTCTAGCTGCACCACTCAGTCACTACAAGACCTTGAGCTAGTTCCTTGACCACTCTGAACCTCAGTTTCCTCATGTGTAAGATGAGAATAATAATAGTATAGTACTTCTAGGCCAGGGTTGTTGTAAAGAATTGAGTGAGAGAATATGTGTAAGTAGCTTAGTGTGGGCTGAGCCCATGGCAAGCATTCCATAAGTAGCAGGCATTATTACTGTTATTAGGGGCAGACAGAGGCACCCAGAAAAGGAGCCCTGGAAGGAGACTGAAGGCTTGTCGGTGGTGCTCCTGGTCCTCAGGAAGTGCCCCTGGTCCCCAGGCAGCTTTTCACTTCACACAGCAGAAAGGTGCAGGAAAGGGTAATGAGTCTGTTTCTCTAAACCATAGGTCAATCATATCTTTCCTCTTTGGTCCTGACCTGAGCTCTCAGCCCAGGCTGTGCTCATAGTTACATCAGCCCCAACAGCCACAGGCTGAGGTACCTGGGAAGTACCTACCCTGCCCAGTGTGCCTGTCCAACACCCTCCCAGAAAGACTGGCTGGCTGATGCCCCAGAGGTGGTGAGGCTCCAAGAGCCATTGCCCATGGTGAAATGTCAGTTCCCAGTGCCCCTGCCCAGTTTGTAGAGTGGCAGTCCATAGACAACCCCTCAACCAGAAGGCCTCTGCCAGCCACCAGGGCTCTTCAAAGGAGGGTGTGCCCGGTCCCTCTCCTGGTGTGGGGCACAGCAGCCTAGAAACAGCCACAGGGAGGCATGTGGATGCTGAAGGAGATGCTGTCCCCCAGACTGTTTTCCTGCTCTTCCTGTCCTGTTGTTCTACCCTATTCCTGGGCAGGGCTGAGTTGGGTGTGGATCAGAGGAGGATAGAGAAGCAGAGGGAGTCACACACAGGACTTACTCACTCAGGACCCATTCTGTGCATCCTGGCCACCCCAGTTTGCAGATGTTCATCCAACCCAGAGCAGCTGCCCCACCTGAAGACATGCCTGGAAGTGCAGCTAGAGGATTGCGATGTGCCTAAGACGGTCCCTAACCTAGTCTAGCATCCAGTATGGGAAACTTTTCTCTGCATATCTGACTGATATTATCTGGATTCTTGAATACCTCCAGTATGGGGGACTTACTACCTCCTTGGTCAGTCTTACCTGGGAGTCTCTGCCTCTCTTAAGTCCCAAACCCCATCACAGCTCCAAAGATGGGAGGACCCCAGGGTTTCTTAGACTTACTCCCTACAGGGTGAAGATGGCACTAGGCTAGTAGCCTTTCTGTGATAACCACACCTGGATTCAAACCACATCAAGTGCCAGCTCAATCCTGATAACATTCTAACGTTCACAGTGTGTCGCTGACTAGTTCAAGAGTACCGCTGGAAGCTGTGGTTTTTGTATTAAGGTACTAAGGGAAATGTGTGCATTTGTGAGTCAGTAAAAAATAATTTTAGGGTGTTGACTCTAGGTTCAACAACGTAATGCATTTCATTCTAGCTTTGATTCATGGTTCATTTCAAATCCTCAGCAGCCAACTCCCCAGCCTGCACACCCCACCACCACCACCACCCAGCACACCCTGCTTCTCACAGCTGGCATTCAGCCAGTGCTCCTGTGTCCCTGGGTAACTAACTGATCTGTGGGGAAAGCCCTATTTGTATCACCTGCCCTCTCCCCACCACATGGGCCCCTCATCCTAGGCTCAGCTTCCTTTTGGGCCACAGTTGGTCAGGGGTTAGCTTACAGGGTCAGGCCAGCAGTCTTGCCCCATCAGAGGAAGGAGAAAGAATCTGCTTGGGAAAGACACAAAAAGGAGGAAAAACAAAGAGTAAAGAGAAGAGCAGAGACTAAATTTAAGCATTAGTCTGTGGAGGGAGGTGGCAGGGGCTTGCACCTAGCCTGCACTTAGATGCCTGGCTTCCATGCCACTCTCCCAGGGCTCACAGGGCCAGCTCACAGTCACCCTTGTGGCCCCCCAACCCCACCCCACCCCTGCCACCACCATACTTTCCCCAGGGAGACTAAGGGCATCAGGGCTTGTGGTGCATCCAGATGGAATGCAGGCCTGTTTGGGGCCAATGAACTCCCTCTAGTCCCCTTAGCTCTGTCTGGTAGGAGCCTTGACTAAATTGTGCATAAGTAATAGAGTCCATATGCAAATGCTTGATCCATAAATTGCATTGATATATCTAAAGAATCAGTGAACAAAAATGGTACATGGCATGACCTTAATTAATAACTAAAGCTTGAGGTGCCCAACAATGTCAAAAACCCCTGCACAGTCCCCAGTCCCTGCTCTGTGACACTGGCAGTCACCCAGCCATTTGGGGTCCAGATGTACTGAATTTCCAAGCCAGAATCCCTCAGCACTCAGTTAGACACAGCCTTTTCTGGGGACTTAAGCCTGGGACAGTAAGGTTCTTCTCACTATCTTGTTTGGGGAAGAAACAGACAGGTGTCCCCCACGCCTCCCCCACAACATATATACACAGGCGAAACCACCCTCTAATTCAAAAAAAGCAGGCAAAGGGCAGCCAGGACTGAGCCAGTCTGAGTGGCCATCCTGCTCCTTAGGGCAGGGCACTCCTGGGGACAACCAGCAGATGCCAGCTCTGTAACTGGCCCATCCTCTGTTTAGGGGTGCAGGCCTCTGGGGAGCTTTCTTTTCCTGGAGGTCTCTACCGCACCTGAGACTCCCAAGGCCAGAGGTTCTCAGAACTAAGCAAGTTCTGACGAGGGAACTGGAATCGCTTTAAATCCCACTTTCCTGCCTGCACAAGGGGGTTACCCCCAAAACAGTCTGAGGGCCTTGTCTAGGAGGGACAGGCAGGCCAAGGTGCCCTCCGGGGGTGTGAGCGGCGCGGTCAGCCCCGCTGCCCCTCGAGGAGCCAGAGGAGCCGGCCAGTGGCCTCCGTAGCAGGCAGCTGCAAGAGAAAGTTACACAGCCGAGCGCTCAGCAGATAACAGGTCAGGCCTCGGCGCGGCCGCCCAGGGGCCGTGGGGCCCCAAGCAGGTAGCAGCCAGGGCCGGCCGCGGCTGGAGCCGAGCGATTAGGGGGAAAAGGCTGAGCGGGGCCGCTTGGGGGGTGGCGCCCCTCGGACAGGGGGACTCCTGGCTGAGGCCCCTGCATCCCTCGGAGCCTTTTCCCGGGTTCTGTGCTCGCCGTGTCCTACCTGAGGCCACACCCTGAAATCAAACTCGCGGCCAGGTGAAGCCGGCGCTGCACAAACAAGTACGCGCGGCCTTTCTTCGTTGCTCCCGACGCCGAGGTCCCTCCCGCGGAGGGCGGGCCCGGCTCTCGCCGCCTCTCCCGGCGCTCCGAGGGCCTGCAGCTCCGCAGGTGGGTGCACCGGCCACCCCGGAAGGCTAGCGACAGGGAGGAGGGGACAGGCCTCCCGGCACGCCCGGCCGCCTGCCCCGGGTTTTCATTCCCCGAAGTTCGGGGCGGACCGGCGCCCTGTACGCCCGGGAGCGGCTCTGGGGCCGCGGGCGCCGGGTGGGAACGCCTGGGGCGCAGGGACAGAGAGCTCGGCGCGGCCTCCTCGGCGGTCTTAACTCCGCGGGGGCGCCCAGCGCTCCCGCCCCACCCCCGGCTGGGGCCGTGGGGCTCGGGGCTGGGAGGTTTCCCGACCCAGGGCGCCCACTCGGGCCTGCGGGGTGGGGCCGGCTGGCCTCGTGGCATCTGAGCGCAGAGGGGAGAGGGCCCAGAAGGGGGCTGCGCCCACCAGCCCCTCCTCCCCGTGCGCCTCGCCTCCCCTTTCACCTGAGAAGGTGGCTCGGTGGCGAGGCGGGTGTGGGATGGTTCCGAATGCTCTGGATTCCGGCCAGTCGCAGTATCCTCGAGGACACTTATACATTTGTCAATGAACTTCTAATCTGTTTCAACCAGGTTCAGAGGACTGGCCAGGGAAGGTCTTTCAGCTCCTCAGCGCCTGAGACCTCTGCCCACTGAAAGGTGAGGAGTTGGGAGGAAGGAGTGGTGAGAAGGGCCGCCGGGAGGTGAGTGAGAGACCTTCAGCAGTGGTAGGGTGTCCAGTGGGCAGGCAGATGGCCCTCCTGGGCTGGCCTGTTCTTGGTATTACTAGGCAGTGGCAGTAATCCTTTCTAGGTGCTATTTCTCAATCCTCAGTGGATGTTCATTGTTACTTCTACCACCCATGCCCACAGCAAACGGCAGGGCTTCAAATACCCCGCCCTGCCCGCTGGCCCAGCCTCTGCTTGTCATCAGGTCTGATGCTTGCTTGGGGTGAGGCAGTTTCACCAAGGCCAATGCACTAATTTCCTGCTTGGGAAAGAGGCTCCCCAACAGGAAGGGCAATAGTAGGCCCAGGGTCTGTGCTGAGCAGGCCAGGAGACAGCCCCAGGCCGAGGTGCTGCTTGGCACATCCCAACATATCAGCTTGTTCTCCAGATGTCCAACATGCTAAAATCACTGAAGCTTTTCCCTCACTCAGTCAGCAGTGTCGGATCTGGAATACAGATGCTACTAGAAACACCAAGAACTAAGATGGAAAGAGTTCCCAGGATATAGGCTGTGTTTTCTGTATCTTGCCCCATTCTCATGTTTGTAGGCTCCTCTGACTTGTTTTCCTAGGTGGGGGAAGAGATGGGGCTCAGGTCTCTGTCTGTGCTAGGTTCTTTTGTGACTGATGTAGTATATGCTCCAATGCTGTGAGTTCTCCTCAGTGCATACAGAGCACAGTGGCTGAGAATACATTTGAAACCAGAAAGAGCTGGGTTCAAATTCTGACTTTGCCTTTCATTCCCTAAGCAAGTTGTTCTACATCATTCTCATCCCCACTATGGGGGTGATCATGCTTTCCTCTTAGGAGTCCTGATAAATGTAGAACAGTCCCATCAGTGAGCCACCTCTCAGCCTCCAGCTGTCACTGCTGAAGAACTTTGAGAAGGTCTGGCTCTGTGGCAGGAGATTGTGGAGGGTGTTAGAGCAAAGTGATGGGAATAAGTAAAGGCAGAGAGTCCATGGAGGGTGGGTAGTGAGGTGACCCGGGGCAGGAGCCATTTCTGGAAGGGGATCTGGCTTTGCAGGCAGAGACAGCCACATACTCTAACATGTCACATGCATTCATGTGGCCTGGGTAACATTGAACACACTGTTACCACAGGCACTGCCTGGAGCGGAGGGAGCCTCTGACTTGAGGCTTCCAGTCCTATCTCTGCCCTAAGTAGCTGTGTGATCTGGGGCAGGTCATTTGATTTCCCTGGGTGTCCCGCATGTTAGAGAAGCTTAGAATTTGGAGCTTGAAATCAGAGAGATCTGCATTTAAATCACAGCTCCACACTTAATCATCTCAGACAATTCTGAGCCCTTGCTTTCTTCACTTACTAAACAGAGCTTATAATATCTACCTCATAGAGTTGTGACCATTAAATATACTAATAAAAAGCACTGCAGCCCACCCTGGAAGGTCATTCTTCACTCTTCCCTTGGAGATAACCCCGTGCCCAGGAAAGCCGTGCCATGAACCATGGAAGCAGTTAGGATTCCAAGTCCAGTGAACAGAGGTCAGAGCATGGCTGTGGCTTGAGCGGCTGCTGAAGTGCAGCCCTGTGCACACAGGCTGGAGCTGGGCCCAAGAGCCGGCCTAAGTCAATATTGACCTTCCCTTGCTGGCCAGCCTGGCTCTTTGGTCTCTCATTCAGCTGGAGTGTTGACACAAGTGATTGAATGAGCTTTATTATCATATTCTTTTCAACAATAGCCCCATTATCTCTCCCCTGGGGGTCCACTGGGACTTGAGTGTGGGAATGGTGGCCAGTGCCGGGAGCCCAGATGTGTTGCCTTGTCATATGCACAATGCTTCTGCCCTGCACACTCGGCTTCTCTCTGGGCCTCTCTGGAGTAGCTCAGGGTGCTGCTCAGCATCCTGGGGACATGCCACACTTCAGCACAAATCGGGGCAGCTCTTCCAGCGCCCTCACAAGCCAGACGATGAGAGCCACAGCCGGGGTCTAGGACCACCCACCCTGCAGGTGACAACTGGGCAGAAGGGCAAATGAAATTCCCTTCAGGCCCCTCCCCCTCCTGCCTTTTTGGGGGCCAAAAAGTGGTGCTGGGGTGCCACCTCTCCTGACTCACATGTCACATAAAGAGAGGCAGATGGCAGACCTGGATGCCTGGTAAAGGCTAAGAAGGCCAGAGCTCAGTTCCACACCAAGGATGAAGGGTGAGGGGATGAAGGCACAGAGGGCAGGGGCCTCAGGAAAGAGTAGGAGCTCCCCATCACTGAACACATTCGAGCAAGGTTCAGAGGACAGTCTCCTGTTGGAAACACCACTGAGGGCTGACAGTTGGGCACAGACAGAAGGGAAGCCAGACCCCATGAGCAAGTCCCGCAGGGCACGCATCACTACCTCTTCTGCGGGCATGCACAGTGGGGTCTAGCAACATCTATTTGGAAAAGCAAACTGAACTGTGCAAGAGTAAATATTTTAGTTTATTTTTACCATGGTCCCCCTAGCCCAGAGCAGAGTAGATGCACAATAAATGAACTTACTAAATAAATGAATGAATAATATAATTTTATATTTTTTAAAACTCCAGAATGTAAAATTTGAGAAAAATCTTTCTGACTGATGAGAATATTCCAATGAAAGGTTGGTTTCTGTCCAGGGTATTCTCAACCGGGGTCCAGCTGAAAGAGTTTGTGGGATGCCAGTGCCCAAGTGGTTATAGCAAGCTCAGGCAGCCCAGCTGCTGATCTCAGGGTGATAGGACCCAACTCGGGGTTGGGGTGGCAAGGCCCTCTGTAGGCCACACTGTGACTGGATGGTGGCAGAAGTAGGGCACCTTTCTTTGTGCTGTAGAACTTGGGGCCTTACGTCTACCTCAAGTATAATCCTAGGATAGTTCCTTCCCCAAAACATCTTGGGTGGGCCTAAGAATGACACAGGGTGGGGTGCTGGGAGGTGGCAGCTGACTGCAGCCACAGGTACATCAAGGTCTGGGTCAGATAGACCCAGGTCTTCCCCTTCTTTGCTGCTCCACTTGGGCAGATCACTTAATCTCTCTGTTTATGTGTGTCCTCATCTGCACAGTGAGTATAGTAATAGTCCTACCTCACAGGCCTGTGCTGAGGAGAGCCTGTATGTGAAATGCTCAGCCCAGAGCCTGTGCTTACACTAGGCACTCCCTGAATGATGATTACTAAAAATACCCAAGTTGTCCCTTGAGTTAGAATAGATGCTCTTTCTCTCCTCTGTACCTAGAGAAGCTAGTAGAGGGGAATGAGTCCATTCCCTTGTCACCACAAATGCCAAGACCTCATAAGGAGGAAAGTAGGCCAAGGTCACAAGCAGGAATTTAGGAACCCCACACCCCAGGCCATACTGAGTCAGGTTGCAGCTCTGATTAGCAGGCAGGCCCTGCGTGTGCCCCCCCACTCTCTCTCACTGGCACTTGGAGCAGGGTCCAGGGTGCAGCTACCTCCTCTCTTCCCAGTCACCCAGCTGTGGAGGAGATTCCACCAGCCTCATTCCTAACAGTTTACAACTTTCAGAACTTTTACAACCACAAAGTCCTGCCCCCTTCAGAGTAGCTGTAAACCCCTTTGGACTCACTTTCCAGAAGCCACCTTCCCAATCTGCTGCTCATTCTTGTGAATCCCTTCAGCATCTAACAGTCCTTTCCTTGAAAGGGATTCGATGTATGGAAATAGCCAAAACCCACTCAAAGCCAGGTGCGGAGGGCAAAGGGGGTGACCATTTCCAGTGAAAACCCAAGGCAACAAACAGGTCAGGAGAGCAATGGATGTTGGCTCAACATGGGCCCCATAGGTGTTCTCAAGGAAGGCTTCTGGAAATACTACAGCACGTTTGGAATGGGTAGATGCACTCCCAAGAGGGCTGCCTCAAGTGGTAGTGCCCGTCTGAATGTCTAAGCTTTGGTGTGAGGTTTCCATGCAGCCTCATTGCTCCACAGCTCAGCCTGGGGTTAGTAGGGCCCCAGCAGCTTAGTGGCACTGGCACCCCAAGCCCCGGCCGGTGGCTGTGTCCTCTCCCAGAGAAGCTGTTTGAGAGGGTGGCCCACACACCACAGCTGCTCTGCTTGTCCCTGTTGTACTCTAGACCAGCCTAGACACAATGCCCTGCTCTGGGGTCCCCTCCACCCAGACCCCTTGTTGCCATGGAACAGTAGCACTAACCACAAAGCTCTGCCCACCACTCCTTGGGCCAAGCCTACAAGTCGTCTGACTTTAGGCTGAGACTCTGCGAAGGGACATGGACCTGTGCTGGGAGAAGACACTCCTGCTGCTCCTGCAGCTCTTTCCATATATATGGCAGGCCCTGGCCTCACAGCCACCAACATGGACTCTTTGGAACATTTACCACCCCATGCGAGGCAGAAAAACCCCCAAACCAAAAAACTGGTCCAAACAAAGGATCAGCCTGCAAGTCAGGACAGCCCCAGTCTCCTCTGGCCTCTGACTCACAGATCAGCCCAGGAAAGAACCTGGCAGTTTTGGTTGAGGAGTTGGCCCCAGCCCACCCCTTCTCTGCACTCTGTGAGTTACTCAGGATGCTCAGCCCATTTGTGTGCTCAGACACCCCCAGGAAGAAGATAAGTTAACAAACCAGCTCCCTCAGAGTGGACATACACAGAACGGGGGCTTTGGAACCAATCTGGGTTCAAACTCCAACTCAGTCATTTCCTGATTCTGTCACCTTGGGCAAGTGATTTAGCCTCTCTGAAGCTTACCTGGACTTGTGGATAATAATGATAATTCCTACCTCCCAGGGTTGTTGTGAGTATGAAATGAGTTGCTCCTCAGAAAGGGTCTAGCATACAATAGGTGCTCAAGAAAAGTTACCTCCCTTACTGTCTCCTGCTCCTCTGAGGTGACAGTCCTACCCCTCAGTGACCCCAGGCCTATAGCTCCCTGAACTCTCTCACCAGCTCCACCCTGGGGTTTACTGGGTGTGGCAGCATTTCCTCCAGAAGGCCTCTGCCGGGAGCTGACCTGCTCCCCAGCTGCCAGGCTCCGGCTGGAGGAAGCAGCCTCAGCAGCAGCTGTGCCCGGTGAGCTTCCTTCTCAAACTGGTCTGGGCA